CCTCTAAAAATCGTGTGACCTCAGTCTCCGTCCCGACCGTCATCCGCAGACACCCAAGACACCCATGCTCCTTACCCCTAAACCGCACAACAACACCCTTATTCTCTGCTAACATCTCGTATACAGCGAGTGCCGTAGCATTATCCGGCTGTCCATCCTTATTTAGCATTTCATAGAGCAAGAAGTTACTCTCTACGCCACCGCGCAGCCGTCCGACACCCTTGATCTTAGGCAGTTCGCGTATCAAGCGTTCTCGTTGCGCGACGATCTTTTCTCGGTTCGCGCTCATAACCGCCAGCCCTTCCGGCGAGAACGCGTATATAGCTAATGCACTAGTAGGGCTGGGTATATTATACGGCGCCTTCATATTATTGAGAAGTCGTGCGATAGGCTCCGATGTGAATAGGGAGCCTAGCCGGATGCCCGCCATGCCGAAGCCCTTGGACGACGTCTGCATGACGGCAAGATTGGGCCATTCGGCGACCCACTCAGCAAGCGATGAACCCTCCGGCGAGAAGTCGATGTATGCCTCGTCGACAACGACCACACCGTTCCACGTCGGGTGCTCTAGTATTTGCCGTATATCATCCTTCGCCAGCGGGGCACCTGTCGGGTTTCCTGGTGAGCAAAAATACGCTAATTTGATATTCGGCTCATTTGACAGGGCTTCCATTATTTTCGTGACATCAAGCGCAAACGTCGGTGCAGGTAGGAGCGATACCTTGACAAGACCCACGTCGTTCACCTGCGCTGATACGGAATACATGCCATAAGTAGGCGGACAGACTAGGATCTTGTCTCGGCCCGGGGCACAGAAACACCGCATAAGACTGTCAATGGCCTCATCGCTTCCGACACCGAAAAATAAGTTGTCTGGCGTGATCTTCTTGTCTGTGTGCTGGTGAGTATTCCTAAGATTGCAAAGCAGCTGCTTCAACTCCCGTTGGTGCGGATCCGGATATCTGTGAAGACCCAAGAAATCGATCTCGGGCCCGGATGTGGTGGCTGATGATGCCGAGGCGGTCTTTGTCAGAGACGGCCCGTAGGCATTTTCGTTTGCATCTAATAGGATGTTTTTGCCATCATCCTTGTAGTCGCTAGATTGAAATGTCAGAATTGGGACAGATGACAGATTAACAATCTGAAGATCTTACTCTCTGGCGCATCTGTAGGGCTCGAGAGCCAAGATGTTGGACCTCGCACAGGTCTCCAAGTTAAACACCGACATGGTGAGCCGGATAGTCTTATAGTCAATGCGAGTCTTCTTAGTCCACCCAACTGTTTTTCTTCGATATTCCTATCCGTCTTCCCTTCACTGTAACTCTGAAGAATATATAAAACCTGACTTATAATCAGTTATCTACGTTGTCTGAACCTGAGTCAGAGAATCCATCACTGTGGGACTCTGAGTCCGATCGGAGTCATGAAGGAGAAATTTCAATTGATGCATTAAGTGGGGTACATGAGCTGTCTAGATGCATTTGCTCTGAAATTTTGCAGTTAACCAGCATAGCTGCTAAAATGGAGTTTTGCTTCCCGACGGACAGCAAACTCAATCGCAACCTCCAAAATTGTATGTTGATTTTGGCAGTCATGATTAGCTTCTGCACTCAAAAAGCAGATTGTGCCAGCATTACGTAGTATAGCTTTCAGAAAAATATTCATTATATTCGTGCCTTGAAAGTGGGTATACCCCCAATCCATGTTTTTTCCAATGAGACTAACGCCCCTCATTTAGGATATATGTAAAATCAAAGAGCCCCAACTCCGGTTGCCATGTGTTTTCGCCTGTGGATTTCAGCTTGTTACGTTGAACTGAAAATAAAGACCAAGGAGACTAATATCACCAGCGCCAAAGAATATTTGGGTGCAATGGTGCCGGCAGCAGAATCTGGTGACTGTGTTGGCGACGGTGAGAGTGTGGACGACGGTGTAGTCATCGGAGTTGGGGGCATTTGGTTTGTGTCCTTGACATGTTTAATCTCGCCCGCTTTTAAAGGTGGCTGCGCATCAAAAGCAAGTAGCGCCTGGACGGTTTCGAGGGCGGTCATTTGCTGTCCGAGCCCTGGATTCCCATCATACCCTCCGACATACCATTTCTCTCCGCAAACGGTACCATTATCTCCACCAGAACAGGCTTTCCCGGCTGCAACGGCAGAGACATTCAGCAGTTCTTGGACATCATGGAGAGTCGAGGGCATGATCTGGGTCGTTGCGGCCATGAACCGAGAGAGGTAGCCCTTGAATGACTTCATATCGGTATTGCAAGAGTTAACTTGTTCGCAGGCATGCTCGTACATGATGTTCGTGGCATTGGGGAATGGGCTGAAATATGATCGAGAAGCCTGTAGGAGACCGTTCGCCCGGTCGGCCCAGGTTTTGTCTCCGTTTGTGTAGTTGAAAAGTATTGCCGCCCCATACATATAAATGCCTTGCGAGTATGAGAAGCTGACAGGATTGATGTCCTTGCAATCTTTACTTGAACTAGCACCATCGAACACATTGAAATCCTTGTCGATGAAGCCAATATTCTGCGACCAGTCCCACACTTTCTCAGCCCATTGAAAGTAGGTTTGGTTCCCAGTTGCTCGAGCTAGCCGCGCTGACATTTGAAAGAAACCGCCGTTGGATACTGCATTCTTGTAATCGAGACCGTTGGGATTATCGGCGTATATCTGCCAGTGCAACCCACCACCGCAAGTCGTCTTGTCCCATCTGAGGACCATAGTATTCCATATGTTTTCCGCTATGTTCAGCCATGGGGGGATGGAGTCATTGGGTTGGGGGAAGTTGCGTTCGGCTGCATCTAGTATGGAAAAGGCCCAGAAAGCTTGATCATCATTCCCTTCGGAACCAGCGTATAGCGGATCCATGAAGTCAAAATGAGGCCCAACCTGGCTAAGCAGTGCTTGTGTTATCACATCGTCATAACTAGCATCGCCCGTATAGTGCGAATAATCTAGCATTGCTCCCCAACAAGCACCAGCTTGCCACCAGTCTATTGCGATATGAAGTTAGTAAACGTGGATCCTTTTTGCTGGTGGTATAACGGCGAGAACTCACAATGAGGCTTCGGAAAGATAGCTATAGTCTGATACAACATGGTCAGCCACGCCCGGATTGAATATTCGAATGGGGAAACCTTAACAGACCTGTGGAGTATTTGTGATGTTTCCGGTGTAGTAGCTCATGGTGTCATAAGCGATAGTGCCAGCGACCGACCGAATAGATGCTATATGACTATTAGATAATGACCTCTAACAGCGCCCATCATGAGAGTTGAAGAAACATGCCTGGATCGTCAATATTGAGATCTTTTGGTTCTATAAAAGTTGCGCCCAGCGCAACAGCGTAAGTGGATGCCAAGAACATGGTTACAGCAGTTCTTCAATGAAGCGAAAAATCGACTAACGAGTGTGATGTGTTGTTGGGAAGAGAAAAGATGTGTCCAGCTGCAATTCCTGAAAAGAGAAAAGAAAAACGAGAATCCTGCGAAGTGAAACTGGTCGATTTGATTTTTATAAAAGCTACAACATAGTTGGCCGCAGCGGATGATATATGCAATCTGTTAAACCAACAAGGAGAGATCTACAATAGGTTCAAAGCGAGAATGGTAGCAGATGGGTATCAATAGCAAAGTAAATAACAGGCTCAGCCCAATAGATAGGTAGTCATCCAATTCAATGGGCAAAACCTGAAAGAAAGAATGATGGCGTATGAGAGAAGCGAAATAGTGAATCAAGAGAATGCGCTCGCTGCTGTGGCAAGATGAATGACATGGAAGCAAAGAAAGAGAGACCTTCTTGTCCTCCGTCCTTGTTGTGGAGCACAACCCGAAGGAGAGGTGACCTCAGCTGTGCATTATGGTTCACAGGTAGTTGAAATTATGTCGTCATGGGAGCAAAAGACAACCTAAAGCCTCCTTCCATTCCAAGTGCGACAGCCGAATACATCAACTGGTGTAAGACCGCCCGCCAGAATACCGCCGAAGTCTTGCAGCTTCCGCAGCAAGCGGTTTGACAGAGATCCTGTTGGCCAGTCACATTGATTCCGGGAGGATCTGAGATCAAGTCATGGATTCCCTGGGTTGAATCCCTCAATACATTCTGAATAACCACCCAGCATCTGAAGATGCGCCTCCTAAAATATGTCATTTTAATGTTGGTTTTGGCATTCAGCGGGTTGGATTCCTGTCAAGATGGGACAGCATTTGGGCTTCGCAGCCCAGCGGCCTGGAATTTCGCTGTGTGGTTAAGTTTAGGGTGCTGTTCAGGGGCTTTTTCATGCAAGCAGCGTGATCTTTTTAATTTGACGGATATGGAAGGTCGAGAGGGATTTGATTGGCTCTCCGCGCACTGCCGTTTCATATCCCAAATTCGAAACAAGCTTCCCTTACCTTTGGAGGAGTTGACAGTGAATTCCGTGCTGTATTTATAGGACTCTCCAAGTTGACAAAGATTCCAGCAGAGAACTTTTGGCTTTTCACTATGCACGGTATTCATATCATTGCTATGTGTAAATGTTGTAAGTCTTTTCTTCAATACTACCTAGGTATGTAACTGATTAATTAGAATCTGGTTTAATCACCGAATACCCAAGCCCCATTGATGTTATTCCACGGTCTAATACGTTTAAGGAAGATTTCGTTCGGTCATTATGAATAAGCCTGGACGTAATATTTATTTAACAAGTATACTTCACTACTAACTATTGGTACAAAACATTCACGATCTTAAGTATCTATAAAATCTTTTAATATAATCTGCGACTAAATGTCCTAATCTGCATTTATCAAGTTCAATCATTTAAGTCACTGCTAAGAGCGAAGATACAGAGCTCAGGCTGCAAATTGAAAAGCGGAAAAAGAAAGAGTATCCTTAACCGACCGAGCAGAGGAAAAGGGCTTACGTAATGAAGCCTTTAGTCAAAACCACGATTGCAACTTTAAAAGAGACGAAAAAAGAAAAAAGGTAGTATAGGTGGGATTGAACCACCGATGATGGACTCGCGGGGAATCGAACCCCGGACCACTCCCAAATTACTCGCAGACAAGCTGCTGATGCTAAGGGAGTATTATACCACTAAACCACAAGCCCGAGGAAGCTCCAGAGAACTCCTGACTAATCGACGGAAATTTAGTTGTGTTACAGATATATCACGCAAAAGCTAGTTGGAAGAGGTTGTGCTGTGAGCCGGATTTGCTCTAACATAACCTAACTTGTCCCTCAGGGTTTTTATTAGGGGTTTATGAGATTGGGCGGGCACACCCCTTGTTTAAACATACAGGGGCTACCTCATTTGCCAAGGTTGAATTGATCTTGGTATACAAAGAACCGAAATCTCGAGGCATTCTAGCAATGTTTGACTGTCAGAGTCGTTCGCTATAGTCGCTATATATATTTACGGGAGTTTGACGTCCTGAAGTACAGCGTCATAGGGTTTTCTTACGTCGTCTACGAATGAGCCCAATGTCTTGCGCATCGCTTGTTCTGCAGCTCGAGCTTCACAAGTGATTATCACCACGAAAGGAGAAACATTTGCATTTAGTCACAGTTATAATAGCATTATCGTTAAATCTATCTCTAGGTAGTATGAAAAACCTTCTACTTATCTTGCTCGACCACGGTCAAGATCGATGTCGGCCACACGTACCAGCCTTGTCCGGAAGAAGACCTTGTGTCCTATGTAGAGAACCAGGAATATGATGAGACTAACATAGGCTGCGAAGAATTCGCTGGTGCTCCACTTAATGAACGCGGTAAACCCGTTTGTTAAGAGGATCAGCACACAGAAAAAGAGACCATATATAGTCAGGTAAGGCTGCAGTGGCGCCTTAAAAGCTAGCGTATCCCGTGATATGCCTCGGAATCGCAGAGCTCGCATGAAGTGCAAGTGGGAGATGGTGATACAGCACCAGCCGATGAAACCTGCTATACCAGCAATGTTCAACAGCCAGTTGAAAACAGTACCTCCGCTAGATGATAGATTAAGGAAACCGAGCAGACCAACGGCTGCCGAAACACCGACGGCGTAATGCGGTGTGCCAAAGCGATTCGTCTGTGCCAAAAATGCGGGCGCATGTCCTTCTTCGGACAGCGCGACCAAGATTCGACTACTTGAATACACATTCGAATTTGCAGCTGACAGCACCGCAGTAAGCAGGACAGCGTTGATAATGTGTGGGAGAACAGGCACGCCAGCTAGTTTGGCGGCAATGACGAGAGGCGATGCCGAGGCGTCGCTCGCGTCGGTGAGGAGATCCGGGTTGTCAGAGGGCACCGTGATGCCGATGAAGAAGATGGTCCCTAGGAAAAGCGAGAAGACGCCCCAAAATGTCCATCGGACGGCTGAAGGTACGCTCTTGGCCGGATCCGCTGTCTCGCCTGCGCCGACACCTACAAGCTCAGTACCCTGATATGAGAATCCTGCAGTGACAAGCACAGACCAAAACCCAACGAACTTGCCGATATTTCCAGGGACGATGTGCTCAGTGAAAGGGCCTGGATGAACCCACGCATCAAACCCAAGGTAGCCGTGTTGGCCGGCGCCGGCATCGATGCAAATCGCGAAGATGATAAAGCCGACAATCGTGATGACTTTGACGGACACAAAGTATGATTCGAACTCTCCGAACCAGCGAATAGGTAGAAAGTTGCAAGCCGTGAAGACTACCCAAAATATAGCGATGAAAATACCGACGCTTAGCTCCTTGTCCCAGTATTGAATAACAAGACCTGCGCCGACGAGCTCCAGCGCGTAAGTTATCGACCAGCTAAACCAGTAAATCCAGCCCATGGAAAAACCGAGCGAGGGGTCAACGAATCGTGATGCGTAGGCTGTGAATGAGCCCGTGACGGGCATGAAGGTCGCCATCTCTCCTAAGCTCGCCATAATCGCGTATACGATGGTACCCACGAAGAGGAAGGCGATCAAGCAACCAACCGGTCCCGCTGTTGCGAGGGCTTTTCCGCTACCGAGGAACTACTACGTGTTAGAAAATAGCTCTTCACCTCGGACGATGAGCTGAAGCTTACAAGTCCTGTGCCGATGGTGCCCCCTATAGCTATGAATTTCAGATGCCAGCTGTTCAAGCCACGCTGTAAGCCATCGCCGCCCTCCACGTCTTTCTGTGAGCCATCGACTGATGTAGCGGCCAGCGCTTTCTCCGGGTTCTTCTTGGGTTCAGCGGCAGGCGTCCCCATAGCTTGTGCAGCGCCGTCTTCACCTAGAGAAGTCAGAACAGACGGGTACGAAGCCATTGTCACACCCGAAGTCAAATCGTTTGGGCGTATAAAGCAAGCTGGGGATCAGCTTGACACATAGAAATCTTGGGAAGGGAGTGGTCATAGATAAATGGGATAGGGTCAATGACGCCGGCTCGCGAGAGATGACCCCCTTCTTTCCGCTATGGAGTCGCGATCTCCTCGGACTCCATCAGCAGAAAAAATCTTTTCAACTAGAGATACCGCCATTGCCACGACTAAGGACCCTAAGGACCTCGAGTTGAACTTTTTAGGGCCAGAAGATGATTTGGTGGCGGAGGTTGCCGGAAGGGGAGCCTCTTCGAACTCGCGTTCGGGCTAATGAAATGGTGCCTGAAGCTTGTTGCCGGATTCTGGCCGGACTGCTTCAAATCTGAACACTAAAAATGTACCTATACTAGATAGAAGCCCCATAAAAATATCTGCTATTGCCGTCTTCTCCACTTTAAGCCGAGGACAATTGGCCAATCAATTGGCATGCCTGACTACAGTAGGCCTTTTTAGGTAGTGCTGTCGGCATATGTTCTTGTTACCTCAATATTATAGGCTCGGGCGAAATCTGAGAACAAAACCTTTTTGCACGTCGAGTGATGTAAGAGAGTCTAAGATGTCGTATTCCATGCATGTTCGAGAATTACGGTAAAACCGACGACTGCAGTTTTATGAAGTCAAGCCAGGGAAGAGTGACTAGCGTCTGTCTTAAGTTCCTCCATTTCGTCTTCGTCGAGTTGCTTCCGCGTCAGCTTTGATACTCTGGCGTAGGTTCCTCCTATGTGGAGCCTCACATTGACGAATCAAGAATATCTATGTTCCGTCTCAAGCAAGGCCTTCCCTGTCATCTCAGGGTTCAAATATTCGCTAACAAAGCCTGGTCATATTCTTGCTTTATTAATACGCCCACCCATCCACAGCCGGATTCCAAAATATGCCTCTGGGGTCCCATTGCTGCTTCCGTTTCCTCATGATCTCTATCTTCTCTGACGTTATGATTTCCGTCATATCAGCTTCAATTCTGGCATTGCCGGCTAGGATCGCGTTAGGCACCCCCTTTGCCGAGTCCTCAGTGCGAACGATCTCGAGGATATCTCGTCCGTACTGTCGCCCGGCCTCTATGTACTCATCTGCAAGATTCCACGGCACCGTCTGTACCATGAAACTACGGTCGCGGTGGCACATCCAGCTTTCCTGACCTTCACTCGCCTTCATTAGCGCATCTGAGTGCATCGGGTGCAGGACGGTCATGCATCTCGAGACATTTGATCCATACGTGTCGACAAACTTAGCAAACCGGCTCGCAGTAAGCAGAAATGCCGTACTCGAGAGCTCTCTTATGAGGCCATTGTAGCAGTCCATATTGGATCCCTGCTTCATCGTTGCATCACGCTGTGCGTTCATCCTAGTCAAATCCGATGATCCGGGCTTGACCATGATCGCCTTCTCCTTGATGGCTGGGTCATTCCAGGGTTCGAACGCCTTATCTGCATCCACTTGTGGCCCGGGGTAAGACGCCTGTGCGAAGACTATTGGTTGTCCAGCATTTGGCATCGTAGGCGGTGCGGCCATCAATATAAAGGCAGTATTTAAGGGCCCCTTGGCTCGCGAGGCCTTCTCCCACAGCTTAGTCGCCGCACCGAAATTGTCCCGCGAGAACATAGCCATGACCTCGGGAATCTTTGAATTGTCAGCGAGACTAAGCTCGGCCGTGGGGTAGATGCGCATAGTCATCGAGAGGATCACACCAAAACCGGCGCCGGCGCCCTTAAGTTGGTAAAAAAGCTCCTTCTTTGATCCCGTTGATGTCTCTGAGACTTCGACAACATCGCCTGTCCCAGTCACTAGTCGAGCGCTGACTAGATGGTCGCAAGTGTGGCCCTTGGTTGCTTGGAATAAATTGATGCCGCCTCCTAGAATGTTGCCAACCACTGCAACAGTCGGGGTCAATAAGTGACTTCTTGAGCGTGATTTGTAAGGGTTTTAGGAGCATGCAAAGCCCTTAAAGATATTATTCCAGTCCGAATAGGGGCCTTTTCACTCTTGAAAATGACTAGAATGGGAAGAAAATAACACCGAGAATTACTTACTGCCTACAACACCGAGGTTCGGCCAGCCTGGATCTGTGTTAGTAGAGCATCTCATCTTTACCAATTTATATCCCAAGCGTCTTATATCAAATTGAGTATACCTGTGTAGAATCCCTTCTCTGCCACAGCCGGCTGAAAGTCCTTCGTCAGGGTGCCGCCTCCAAACGTCACAGTCCGCGCCTCGGCATTGACATCTACAGAGCGGAACTTCTCCATGTCCAAGTAAATCGTCTTGTTGTTCGTTATGACAAGCCCACCGCAGGCACCACATTGCGGCAGGATCTTCAGTCCGTTCGCAGCGGCATACTGCACCACCGCCACGACATCCTTTTCTGTTGATGGTACGATCGCCGCAGCCGGCAGTGTCGATGACCCCATGGTCATCCACCGCTTGCTCAGAAACGAGTAGACCGTGTCATCTCCGCCTGGGGTCGAGACTGTGCATGTTGACGGGAGAGCCGACCGGATACTTGAAGCTGTGACTGCTGCCATTGTGTTTGTTGCTTCTTCGCCGATTGCAACTTAAGATTCAAGATTGAGATTCAACCCAACTGTTAATCCTCCACACCACGACTGCGGGATGCCCCGCCTTTTATACGCACCTCACAATTCCTTCCAAGGTCGGTGTTAGTGCTTATAAGACAAAGTTGGACAATGTAAGGCATCAAGCAAGGGCAATGCGGGCTCGTTTACCATTGGTACGTTAACCAGGTTTATGGCAGGGATGCACATTCTGGACGCCGACAGGTAACT